AATCAAAACTACAATGAGGTACCACCTCACACCAGTCAGAATAGCCATCATTAAAATGTCTACAAAACAAATGCTGGAGAGGGTGTGGAGAAAAGGAACCTTCCTACACTGTTGGTGGGAAGGTAAGTTGGTGCAGCCACTATGGAGAACAGTACGGAGGTTCCTCAGAAAACTAAAAATAGAATTACCATATGATCCAGCAGTCCCACTACTGGGCATATATCTAGACAAAACTATTATTCAAAAAGATACATGCACCCCTATGTTCACAGCAGCAGTATTCACAATAGCCAAGACATGGAAACAACCTAAATGTCCATCGACAGATGAATGGATAAAGATGTGGTACATATATACGCTGAAATACTACTCAGCCATGAAAAAGAATGAAATAATGCCATTTGCAGCAACATGGATGCAAGCAGAGATTATCATACTAAGTAACTCAGAAAGAAAAAGACAGATACCATATGATATCACTTATATGTGAAATCTAAAATATGACACAAATGAACCTACCTATGAAACAGAAACAGAATCACAGACATAGAGAACAGACTGAGGGTTGCCAAGGGGGAGGAAGTTGGGGGAGGGATGAAGTGGGAGGTTGGGGTTAGCAGATCTAAGCTTTTATATATAGAATGGATAAACAACAAAGTCTTACTGTATAGCACAGAGAACTATATTCAATACCCTGTGATAAACCATAATGGAAAAGAAGATAAAAAAAGAATGTATATATGTATAACTCATCACTCTGCTGTACAGCAGTAATTAACACAACATTGTAAATCAATGTCAATAAAAAATGTCAATTTTTATGTCAATAAAAAGTAATAAATAAAATTTATAAAATATGGTGATGGTTTAAGAGAACAAAAACAAAAAAGTCTGGTATTTCTACCCTCAGTGAATTTTTTTCCCTTTCTAAGGTAAAAAACTGGAAGTCCTCAACCCTCAGCACCTACCTACCATGGCACCCGACCTAGAAACAATCAAAATTTAGTTAGTATATATTTGTTCAAATGTTTCCTTATACAGACATGTCTATGATTATCTATACATATTCATTTTCTTATAACATCACTTGTTAGATAATATTACATGATGTAAATATGTGATATCTTATTTACTATCCCCTTGCTTATTTTCAGTTATATGAATCTTACTTTCTCACTATGATGCTATAAAGGTCTCTATTATTTTCTTAAAATATATTCCTAAAAGTTTTTCTCTCCATTGAGACTAGGATCTCCCAAACTTACTTAACATCAGAAAACAGTTTACACTATTTTGACCCAGTCAGAATAGGACCTAATGAAAAAATAATTCAGGCTGGGAGTAAAGTGTTGACCGGTAGTCAAAGAAATATTAATAAAGGTTCTTCACATAGAAAGAAAATGGAAGGAAATGGAAATAAAAGGAAAATGGAAGCATCAAAATACAGGAAGAAACTAAGAGCCCCCAAACTAATTATAAACTCAATAAGGTAAGTCCCCCAAAATATTATATCTACTAATAATAGTGGACTTACCTTATTCAGAAAGTGGCAAGAATACTAATTATTTATAAGGAAGATTACAGAAAGAAGAAAGAAGATCATTACATAAGAAGCAATAGTACATATCCTAGAGTGGCCACTAAAAGAATAATAATTAAGATAACTAGGAAAAAACCTGATTTATCCAAAAGAAGGCAAAAAAGGAGAAATAAAGGAAGAAAGAACAGATGGGATAAGTAGAAAATAAATTGCAGCATGGTATACTTAAACACAAATATATTAATAATACATTAAATGAAAATGTACTAAACGCTTATTTAAAAAGACCAAGATTATCAGACTGGATTTTTTAAAACCAGCCAACCTTTTTTGGGGGGAGGCACAAGGGATCATGAGAGGCATAGGGGATTGGGAGGCACACTGGGCCGAGTGCCTGGCTGTGAGCACAGGGGAGAAAAAAAAAAAAAAAAGACTATACTGTTATAAGAGGCATACTTTAAATATAATCTTTAGAGCACCACAAGAGACTGTGATTCAGGAGGTCTGGGGTGGCATCCCAGAAAGAGCATTTGGGCTGATGGGCTTTGTCTGTTCTACACATCATATCCTCTGCCTTCTCCTTCTTCCATTACCAATTCAGTGGCAGGAAAAAAGAGGTTGCCTGCTGGCTCTTGCTGCCCTGGTCTCACAAATTCATTCCTTTGTTGATTCATATATTAATTTGGCAAATATTTACTGAATGACTACTACCTATTTTGTTCTAAGAGTTGGGGATACAAAGGTGAACAGAATACAGCCCCTCCCTTTGTGGAGTTAATATTCTAACAGGAGAAAGACACTAAACATAAGGTCATACACATATATACACTAATATGTATAAAATAGATAACTAATGACAACCTGCCGTATAGCACAGGGACCTCTACTCAGTGCTCTGTGGCTACCTAAATGGGAAGGAAATCCAAAAAAGAGGGGATATATGTATACGTATAGCTGATTCACTTCTCTGTATAGGAGAAACTAACACAACATTGTAAAGCAACTATACCCCAATTAAAAAAAAAAACAAAAACCATATGGTCATACAGTGTCATGTACTATTAAATACTATGACAAAAAACAAGGTAAGGTAACTGAAAGTTACAGGAGCGTTTGTGTAAGATAAAGTAAGATAAAGTAATGTAAGGCTTCCCTGGTGGCGCAGTGGTTAAGAATCCGCCTGCCAATGCAGGGGACACGGGATCAAGCCCTGGTTCAGGAAGATCCCATCCCACATGCCGTGGAGCAACTCAGCCCGTGTGCCACAACTACTCAGCCTGCGTTCTAGAGCCCACAAGCCACAACTACTTAGCCTGCACGCCACAACTACTGAAGCCCACGCACCTAGAGCCCGTGCTTCCAACAAGAGAAGCCACCACAATGAGAAGCCCGTGCACTGCAACGAAGAGTAGCCCCCACTCGCCACAACTAGAGAAAGCCCGCACGCAGCAATGAAGACCCAACACAGCCAAAAATAAATAAAAATAAATTTATTTTTTAAAAAAATAATGTAAAACTTAACAAAGAGGTGATTTTTGAACAAAAATCTGTCAATACATAAAGTGGGAGAGCCAGCCATGTCATCATCTAGGGGAGAATTACAGAAGAGGGAGGAGCAAACGCAAAGGTTCAGAAATAGAAGGTAGCTTGGAACATTTGAGGAACAGTAAGTTGACCAGTGTGACTGGAACAGAGAGCAGTAAAGACCTGTAGAAAATGAGGTCTGGGGTAGCCAGGAGCTGGATCATGTAGGACCTTAGAGGCCCAGGTAAGGAAACTGGATTTCATTCCAAGTAAAATGGGAAGTGAACAAAGTTTCTGGGCAAAGGAGTGAAATGATGTGTTCCATCACACTGAGCACACTGCTCCCTAGAGTCCTTCATTATTTTCTACCACCCTCTTTAAATCTCACCATCATCTGTGTTACTGACCCTCAATATAGAGTACAACTTCCTACATCTGACAGTCACTAACTAGTGATGTGTATACATCACTTTCCTTCCTTGGCTTTTTCCTCATTTGTAAAACAAGTGTCTTAGACAAGATCACCCGTAATTTTCTTCCTGGCTTTATCATTTTATGAACCTACATCTTTGCTAATACACTAGCTACTAGCCACATGTGGTTATTTAAATCTAAATCAATTAACATTTAAAAATTCAGTTCTTCAGTCACACTAGTACATACAAGTGCTCCACAGCCACATGTGGCTAGTTGCTACTGTATTGGGCAGTGCAAACATAGAGCACTTTTATTATCAATCATCACAGTGCTTCTCTAGGTGATTTCTGCTTCTGAGTCATCTTCTTAAGATGTAAGAAAATAAAAAGATGTAGTAGTTTGTATGGTTTTATTTTTTATGTTTAACCTACAAAATGTATTTAACCTCAAAGTATGAGGAAGAAAATTTTTTTCTAAATGAATACTCCAGCTCTTCTCCACTGATTTAAAATAACATCATTACGTTATTATGTAATAAACAAACTAGTAGACATTGAAATCCATGAAGACAGTATTTTTTTCACCACAGTATTGCCAGCAGTTAATATATAGTAAGTCTTTAATAACTATATGTTCAGTGAATGAATAAATATTTTCTATTCTTATTCATATTTGCATTTGTTTCTGGATATTATATGCTGATTTTTTCATTTATTTCTTCTGGCTCTCATTCTATACTATTTTTGTTATTTACTATTTACGATTTGTTATTACAGATGTATTTAGCCATTTTTTTATGTAGATTCAATACTCCCTACTATTCTCCTTTTTCAAAAAATTCCCTGCTATTTTTCCATATTAACTCCTCTAATCTTTACTGCATGATCTAGAATATTTTAGCTGTAACCAGCTACTAAGTCAGGATATCCCTAGAAAAGGACCTCATTACCCCCATGGAATCCTACTCTTCAGTGCCTGCAGAATGCCTGAAAAACACTCCTGCCCTAGCTGACCCACACTTTAATACTCAAGACACAACAAATCCCACTCCTCAAAATCACCTTGAGCAAGCAACCCTGTCATGTATCAATACTACAACTAAGACTTCCCCAAGTAGTCCCTGTCTACTTTTCAAACCCAGGTCTGTGGAAAAGCTCTAAACTGTTGGTCACATCTGAACACCCACCTTGACCTCAGTGAATCACTTCACTTCCCTACAGGGAAGACTTTCAGATTCCACCAAGGAGTGTATTTTTGCCTCTTGAGACCTCCCAACAGAACACCTAACCCGCAGGAAGTGCTAAACTGTTTCTTGAATGAAGATGAAAATTCTGGCTGAGAAAAAAAAGAGGCTCAGTGGGTTTGGGGGGACCTCCTTTTACTAGACTGGAGAACATGAGGACCAGGTCACTGAATGAATGGAATTTTAGAATGGGAAATTTCAGAAGAAAAGCAAAATGTTCATATAAAATCTGAAAAACAAGGCATTTCAGAGAAGAGAGTAGAAAAGCTTCCTTACCTCAGACATGGCTTTAAGAATTTAGGACAGCCCTTCTGTCCTCCACCTTCTGGCTTCTCTTTGGGAGAAGGGCAGTGTCCAGAGAAAACAGAGCTGGAGAGGGAGAAAGAAAACATGAAATGCTGGGCCTGCCCTCATCTCCCAGCATCACCAGCCTAGATACTCTCATTTCCTTCTCTGTGCAGTTCTCCCCAACCACAGAAGTAGATACGAGGTGTCACTGCATTGGTCATTCCTATCTAAATTTATAATTCTTTCACCTATGTGCTTTATTTTTTGAAGTATAGTTGATTTATAGTGTTATATTAGTTTCAGGTGTTCAACATAGTGATTCAATATTTTTATAGATTATACTCCACTTAAATCTCCCACGTGCTTTAGATCTCAATATGCAACATAAACTTTCTGTGCTTAAGATACCTCGTTTATATTTATAAGAAGTAACAGTATTTATGCTTCAGAATGGCACTGCCAAATAAGGATAATTTCCCCGTTCACACATGCAGGCTATTCATCAGTGAAATCATCCAGTGCCTCATGGTAATTAAGTAATTGAGCCCAACTGGAATCCAGGTCTGACCCGTTAGTCTTTCCACCAGATGATGACGTTGAAATGAAATGTGTCCCCACCCTTTCTACAAAGATGAGAGATAAAACTACAAAGTGAATGCCTCAGAGAAAGCATCTTTACACAGAGTAGGCATCAGAGGGATCATGTGGTCTGGAAGACACTGGACCAAAAAGAACATCCTGCTTCTGGTCCTGGCTTATAATAAAATGCACCTGAAAACCAATCTCTCAACTTTTCTAAGAAATTTCCTCAGAAGGGGCTGGGGGGAGGGATATGCAGAAACAGTCACTGCAACCCCTTAATCATTAATTATTTTCCACTAAACTTCACTGCCTTGGAGAGTAAAGAAATTATCTCAGAAGCAGCATAACTTAGTGGTAAGAACAACTAGGTTTGGGGATCAGAATGCTCAAACACCTGATCCACCACTTAACTGGCTCTGCAGCCTCTATTCCAAACCTCAATTTCCTCATCAACAGAGTAGTACCTACTCTCTATCAACGGTTGGGAGGGTCATAAGATGATCCACATCAAGCATTTAGCACAGTACCTGGTCATCCTTTGTGTGCAATAAATATCATTCAATCATTTATTTTCATAAGTAGCACACAGTAGGTCTCCCCGTCCTTTTTTCTCTTCGATTCCTCACTAAGAGAGGGACGGAAAGACCTTCTGTGCCAGAGAGGACTAAGGTCCAGCAGCTCAGTCTTCTGCTCTCCAGGCCCGAGGCTTTCTCCTCCTCTCCAGCTCTCTTCCCCTCTCCCACTCTCCTCTCCGTAAACCCCATCTCTTCCCCTTCATCTCAATCTCGGTCTTCCCGCTACAAGAGTCTCCCAAATCCTGGAGCACACTGGCCTCCCAAAGCATCCACACAGCCTCCCAGCCACCACACAAACCACACAATCCCTCATGCTGGCAGCTCCCCTGGCAGACTGTGGACATGCTCCCGAGCTGTAGCTTGCCCACCCCTCGCAGTGAGTCACACAGTCACTGACATGATGACACATGGTGCCATATACTGTCACACACTCCTAGGGTCACACAATCTCAAGCAGTCTCACGTGAACACACAGCTGCACGTTCACTGTTACAGAAACTGTCACACACATTCTCAAATTCTGTTCACACACCGTCGCACAGAGCCCCATACACAAGGTCACACACACAGTGACACTGTAACACACGGTCCCATACATGGTCACACTGTTCACACACAGTGACACGGTTTCCCTGTCACATTCTCAGACACTGTCACACATTCTCCCTCGGTCCCACACAGCCTCACACACTGTCACACGGTTTCACTCTGTTCAAACACGGTCACACACACCGGACCCAGGCTCCCACCGTCACAGGCCCCCTCACACGCCCGCTCCCGCCCGACAGGCCTGCCCAGGCGCGCGCACCCACCCCGGGCTCCTCACCGCCTTCTCCCCGAGAGTCGGCACTTCGCTCCGCACCGTTCGCGGAGGCTGGGAGCTGAGCGCTCTGCGGCCGGGGCGTGGACTCGATCTCGGGCCCGACGGGCGGACTCACAAAGGGGCCAAAGCGCTCGGGCAGGCTGTCGGCGCCAGCCGCAGTGGCTGCTGGGAAATGGAGTCCGGGGCCAGGCGCGGTGCGGCGCGGAGCATCCTGGGACTGCTCGCCGCGGGGGGCCGGGCAGACAGCTGCTTCCTGCCTCGTCCGTTCGCGTCGTCTCTGCCACGCTCCTTAACACCCCGACCTTGCGACCCAGAACTTGCACTCGCCCCGCCCTCTCAGGCCGTCCGACCCACCGCTCCCGCCACCGAATCCAGCCCGGACCTGGATTGGCCGGCTCGAACTGCGCAGGTGCAGCTTGCTCGCGTCGCGGAGGCGTCCAGGCTCGGTGCACGCGTCGGCCGCGAGTAGCGGACGCGGCTGTGTTGCGCATGCGCGGTGGTCGGGCCCGCGCCCGGGCGCAGCAGGTGGGGCTCCTGGCCCGGTGCTGGAAAAACGCAGCTGGCGAGGCTGGGTGTGAGGGCTGGGGCCCGCCGGAGGGGGGCACCCCGGGAGGATGCGGGCGTAGTTAAGAGATAAGGTGCTCTAGATTTCTTTCTTTGCTCTATTTTTCTGTTTCTTCTGTCCTCCCTATCCTTTCATTCGCCACTTATTGAGCGCCTACTGTGTGCCAAGCACTGTTGTAGATGCTGGGGACGCAACTGTGAACGTGCAAAAATCCCCACCCGTGGAGCTGACATTTTATTATGGGAGAAATTTAATAGGAAAAAAAAAGGTACTAATATATACTGGGAATTGATACGCGTTATAAAGAAAAGCAAAACAGAGTATAAACATCATTCTTTCAGTTCTTAGTTCTTTGTTACACCCTCTGGTTCATATTCAACCTATGTCTGAAAATACTTCATAAACTTCTATCTCTAGTCCTAACCCACATTCATGCCTCACCTCTTTAGAAATTTTTTTATAAGACGCAGAGCTTCAGTGTAACTTGTCTCACCAAAGTAACCAATGACAAAAAGCAAATAAGCTGGTAATTTTTATATTGAGGAAATGTAAAAATGCAAATGTTATATTCACAAAGTTATTGAAACACTGTACATAGTAATAAAATGTTGAATATAAACAATATGGCTAAAAATAGAGAAGTAAATAAATAACTACATCTGTTTGAAACTATACAACATAAAAATAATCGTGTGATGATGAAGCAACCTGTAGAAATATTTCTTAAGTTTTGTTCTGAGGAGGAACAGAGCTGTTACAATTACACTAAGATTGCAAAATTGGAAAACTGTTCCTGTGTATAAAAAAGTAAAAGGAGGGGCTTCCCCGGTGGCGCAGTGGTTGAGAGTCCACATGCTGTTGCAGGGGACACGGGTTCGTGCCCTGGTCCGGGAAGATCCCACATGCCGCGGAGCGGCTGGGTCCGTGAGCCATGGCCGCTGAGCCTGCGCGTCCAGAGTCTGTGCATCCAGAGTCTGTGCTCCGCAACGGGAGAGGCCACAGCAGTGAGAGGCCCGCGTACCGCAAAAAAAAAAAAAAAAAAAAAAAAGACATATCAGTAGACGTCCAGGTTTTTGCAGCCTTTTCCACATTTCACAAATGTATGAAGAAATTGGGCATATTTAGCCTGAAGAAGATAGGTGATAACATTTTTCGTTTCCAACCATTACCTTTTAAGCTCTTTCTGTTGACAGAACCCTCTACAAAGCTTGTATCAAAATCTACTGTGACTTGCATAAAAAACACATTTATCATTTTCAAGTCAATAATCAGCAAACAGATGTCTGCCTAGCATATCTAAATTTAATGTAATAATCTAAGTACATAATCTTGAGTATTAGAGATAGAATATGGAATCCGAGACAGAAGGAACCATTTATTTTTCCCTCACTGTCACAATGAAGATACATTTATTTTTTCATGGGTTAGTACTGGAGCAAATTTAAGTCTGTACTTTAAGGTTTGTAAGAGGTGTGAGGTCAAAGTTCTCTCTTTTTTCTTATGTGGCTATGGATGTCTAATGGCTCCAGCGTTGTTTGTTGAAAATGCTGTTCTTCCTCCATTAAATTGCTTTTGCAGCTTTATCAAAAATTCAATTTCTGGGCTTCCCTGGTGGCGCAGTGGTTGAGAGTCCGCCTGCCGATGCAGGGGACACGGGTTCGTGCCCCGGTCCGGGAAGATCCCACATGCTGTGGAGCGGCTGCGCCCGTGAGCCATGGCCGCTGAGCCTGCACGTCCGGAGCCTGTTGCTCCGCAACGGGAGAGGCCACAACAGTGAGAGGCCCGCGTACCGCAAAAAAAAAAAATAAAAATTCAGTTCTGACAAGGACTTGTATCCAGAATATGTAAAGAATACTTAACAAGTAACTAATAAAAATACATTAACACAATTTAAAAATGGGCAAAGGATTTGAATAGACATTTCTCCAAAGAAGATAAACAAAAGGTCCAAAAGCACATAAAAAGATGCTCAGCATCATCAGTCCTTGGGGAAATGCAAATCAAAACCAAAATGACTTACCACTTCACACCTATTAAGATGGCTGGAATCAAAAAGTCAGATAACAAGTGCTGGTGAGGATGTGGAGAAACTGAACCCCTCATACATTGTTAATGGGAATTTAAAATGAAGCAGCTGCCTTGGAAAAACATTCCAGAAGTTCCTTAAAAAGATAAAGATATAGAGTTACTATATGAACCAGCAATTTCAGTCCTAGGTGTATACCTAAGAAAAATGAAAACATACATGCATGCAAAAACTAGTACACAAATTGTTCATAGCAGCACTATTCATAATAGCCAGAGTGGAAACAACCCAAATGCCCATATTATTCAGCCATCGAAAGTAATAAAAGTAATGAAGTACTGATACACACACTACATGGATGAACCTTGAACATCACACTATGTGAAAGAAGCCAGTCACAAAAGACTACATATTGTATGAGTCTATTTATCTGAAATATCCAGAATAGGCAAATTTCAGAAAGTAAATTGGTGGTTGCTTTGGGCTGACGGAGGAGATGAAGAATGAGCACTAATAGACAGAGGGTTTCTTTTTTGTGGTGATGAAAATGTTTTAAATTTAATTGTGATAGTTACATAACCCTGTGAATATACTGAAATACCATTGAATTGTATACTTTGAATAGGTGAACTTCATGGTATGTGAATTATATTTTCAATAAAATTGTTACAATAAGTTCAGCATACAGTGAGGGCTTACTTCTGGTTTCTCTGTTCTGTTCCATTGACCTATGTGTGTACTGATTACTGTAGCAATACAGTTAAGCACTGATATTGGGTTGAGTTCTCCCACTATTCTTTGCCAATATTGTTTAGCTATTTTAGAGCCTGTGCCTTTCCATGTAAGTTTTAGGAAAAGTTTATCTTATATCTACAAAAAAAAAAACCCTTTCTTTTCTTTCTTTCTTTCTGCTTGGTTTGGGTTTATTTTTGCCCTTCTAGTTTCTTGATGTAGGAACTTGGAATATTAATTAAGACCTTTCCTTATTTCTAATGTAAGCATTTAGTGCTATAAATTTCCCTCTTAGCCCTGCTTTAAATACATCTTACATGTTTTGTTAGGTTGTTGAAAAGAAAACCTACACTCCTGTGTGTCTCCTTTCTTCTTACAAAGAACACTTCACTACACTTCTGACAACAGATGTGTGAGGGTGCCCCCACACACACACACCAAGCAATTCTGCAACACCAGCTGGGTGTCCTAGAAACTTAATTCTGACACTATCTACCTGGAGATAGCATCAAATCCCAGAGATTAAGGGTTCAGTCCCATGAGACTGCCAATCACAAACCCCAGTTGTCACCTGTGTTTCTGACCAATCAGCTATAAATTGGAGGTTCCACGACTCTCCTCCTCAAGTTTGATTAATTTCCTACAGTGGCTCACAGAACTCAGGAAAACAGTTTACTTACCGTTTACCCATTTATTATAAAAGGGTACGACAAAGGGTACAGATGAACATCCAGATGAAAGAGGCTCATTGGGTAGGTGGTAAGGGCCAGCTTCCTGGTTCACAGACGGCCATCTTCTCACAGTAACCTCACATGATGGAAGGGGTGGGGGAGCTTTAGGGGCCTCCTTTTTAAGGGTACTAAACGCATTCATGAGGGTTCCACCCTCGTTACCTAATCACCTCCCAAAGGCCCCACCTCCAAATACCATAACATTGAGGACTGGCTTTCAACTTATGAATTTGGGAAAGGGTGAGGGAGCATTCAATCTATAGGACTGAGCAAATAAAATCTACTCACTAGGAAAAAAAAAAAACACTATCTAGAAGGTAGACTCAGTAGGCTTTGGCATCTGATTGGATGAAGGGAGGGTAATGAGGTAAGAGTCAAGGATACCACCTAGGTTTTTAGTATAAGTGGACAGAGGTGCCAGGTGGTTTAGTTGCACAACTCCATAAGTCTGCTTAAACACAAACACAGTCCTCTGAAATAAGGTCATATAATCATAGACTGAATAGACATATGTGAAGATAACAACAGAAGCTATGAAGACAATAGCCAAAGGTGAAAAGAGATCTAGGTAAAATACTTGACAATTTGAGGGAAATTAAAGACCTTCTCAAATAATTAGAGGACACAAATTTGCATTACCTATAAAACTTTCTTTACAAATAAATATATATTTAAAATATTAAAATACTGAAATACTGAAACTATGTTTGAATTTTCTACCAGCGAGAGAGATGCAATCTGAGAACCATATATAGTGTGTCAGTAATAACAGCAAAACACAGGGTTAATTCTGAATAACTGCTATTAATGAAAAAGAAAAACACAACAAAAGTATACAAACCAAAAACCCACAGAGTTTCCTTTCCTTCTTTATAGAGATTGTATGTCAGAAAAGTTATGGGAGGTGTCCATGGTCATGGTCATACAGGGAGGGAGTAGCTAAGATAGGGTTAGAATCCACTCTGTTGTTTCTTCCATTCCTTGTTCCAGAAACATTCCCTGGAAGATATGGCCTCCCCACAGCTGATTTCATTCATGTGATAATGGCAGGTCCCATCATGGAGAGAAAGAATATAGCAAAACCACGAATGTAGCTGAGGGTTTATAGAAGGGGAGAGCTAGAGTTACTATGTATGTATTTTGGCACAAGAGAGTGTACAGGGTAATCTCTTGGGAAGTGGTTGACAAGGCAGCTGTGGATCTGATAGAATGGAGAGGCATCAAGACATTCATGTACTCTTGTGTGAACAGAAAAGGAACAAAGAGTATCACTCATCATCCAGTTATACAAGGGTTAAGTCTCAACCCATTGCAGTCACCCACCAACAGTGCACCCCGAGGAGAAATGAGGATGAAAAACCAGTATGAGACACTCAGTGCTTTGGCAAAACAGGCCCTTACGACAGTTAAGATGTG